GGAGACGTTGACCTTTGAATGTGCACCCACTCGGAGTACCAGTGTGCAATGCGAGAAAGGCGAAGGTGATAGGCACCACATCCCAGCCCTAAGTGAGCACAAAGGCCATTTGAGCTCCTAACTTGACGAAAAGGCATACAGGGCTTCGGTTTACGCCACCATGCCAAGACACGTTCTGATGTCGATTTGTTCTGATTTGAAAATGCAACGTTTTCCGCAAACATTTATACAATTTGGATGACAAATGGATTCCGCTAATTCACATGAATTATGTGCTGGTGTAACCAAAATTGTACTTGCTGCACACCACCCAACCACTTCTACTTTTTCTGCTTCATTGCAGAGGATTCACCGCAAGTTCACTCAGCCTTTTCAGAGTGGAAAAGGAAACAGTTGGCCTGCCAAACGCCCATTCGGGTGGATGCCTTAAAAATACAGCGAATAAAATAACTTTAGTTTATATTAGTTTTTAAATAAAATAAAACTATAAAATGATACAGTAGTTTAACATCCCCTTTCCTACTAGTTATTTTTCCGGATACCACATTATATAATGTAAAAATGTTTCAGTTGAAAAAAATCTAAACAATTAATTTCCAGAAAAAAAGTATTTACCAAATCCAAATATGCTCCACATTGCTCGAAGATTGTAACTGCCTTCAAATGGGGAAGACCGACCAGTCCAACTCCATTGACAGAAAGAATGACATCATTGACCCTATTGCAAGGGTTAGGCAAATAAGTACGACATCCAGACCCTACGTATAACAATTACAGATGGGTATGCTTTGATGTCGGCATTCCAACAAGACTATGTAAGCAGATTGATGAACATGTAAAAATCTGCTACCGATCAAATTTTGAACTCATTTATTCACTATACATATGCGATCCCTGAACTTGCTGCTCCGAGCTCAGCACTGCGACTGGTTCACTTCACTAATCTAGCCTGACTGGATGCATCAAATCCCTTTGAAAATGCTTTGGTCGAGCAATGGGACAGGTGCAAAATAGTCACAGTCTTTGATTAGTTGCATTTTTTAGCTATTGAATGGCGGCTGAATCAGTCAAAGAGTGGAGAACAAACCGCAGCGTAGGGGAATCAGGAAATAACGGTTCTGTTGCGAGACTGCTATCATATTGTAAGTGTAAAAAAATGCTTTTATCAGTTATCCAATTTCGTTCTAGACGAAAACGATAAAACATTTATTTGCATTCAAAACTAAAAAGGCGAAAAATTCGCTTCTTAAATAGGAACCCGCACTTTATGAGTTAAACACGCTATGCACCACTCAAGTGTACAACGGCAACAGGAGTTTTCACTAAACATTGCAATACAGAGGGATCTGAATGAAATTAAACGAAACAGGATTTTTTAATGGCGATAAGACTACCTGAGACGGCCATCCGAGTCGGCCACTCCGCCTGGCGTGATACGAGCAACATAGACAAAGCATGGATTAATGGTGGGTAAAGGCGTCTCCTGATCAGTTCCGCCAGCGATAGAAAAGCCAAAGCCCTGGGGTCCTCGTGACAGTTGGACTCGGAAAGTTGGCGAGCAAATGCGCCGTTGCTCCATGAAGGAGTTGGACACTGAGACAGAACCGAAACTAGGCGATTGTGAACTCGCCTCGATGCTGTCGTCGAATAGCGGCTCGGTGTCATTTCTTGTACGATGCGTGTGATACCATTCTTGATTGTCCTTGTGGTGACGCTGAGGATGCTGGTGGCGTCGTCCCAAGTTAAGACGGCAGAACGAGCTGGTCACAACTGATGTGTGGTCCTTTGAAGTGCTATTCTTACCTGCACCCGAATCCAACGCCACTGATCGGGCTATGTGGGATAAGGAACGCTAAAACGCATATAATAATAGTGCCATTGTATTGTCCAACTTATCAATAGGACCTGTGAAATAAATTATTCACGTATTAGGGCGAATGCTCCGTATCCTTCAATCCCGTAGTGCATGACAGTCATTCGCGCACAAAATCATGCCGTCATTATACAATCTCATTATTATTAAAAAATGATAAAGCAAGATATTCTCAACTTCTTCCAAGTCCCTTGGATTCTGCAATGCTACTGGAACTTGGAAAAGAGCAATTCACCCAACACACAAAAATGGTTGAACACTTTTGACATCCGATGCCATTACGATGTCACTTGTTTCTCCTAAACGAACTTCAATCCTCTGTTAATATGCTTCGCCAAATATGCTTTGCGGCATAAAAATTACAAATAAATAAATAAATGAATAAATTTTAAATATATGGATCATAAATAATCAAATATTTTCCAAGAATGGGTAAAAACTAGCGACGGATAAGAGCACCTGCTTTGATATTATGTTGGCCACATTTTTTCTGTTACAAAGGCTTCACTACGGAAGAATTTGACACTTAAAAGAATGACAATGCTCTCAACAGCAAAAAACCTTCCGGTGCTGACCTGATTTCCAGCATTACAAAAGAGCCCAAAGCCATGACATTTAACTATCTAGCATTGTTCATCGTACACAGTATTTTTGTGGAACAATTAAACCAAATGTATAGTGACACCAACACAATTGAGGCAACCAACGCCATAACTGACAGGAATTGCTCGGTCTCAGTAGCAAGAAAATACACATTGCAATAGCACGAAAGCAGTCTTTTAGATAGTTTCTGGTCCAAATGAACGCCTTCCTATCCGATTTGCCCAAATCTAATTACACCGCTCCACCCTCTTGAGAAAATTAGATGCACTTGGTTGGCTTCGCCTAGACCAAAGCAACTGTACGAGGAAAGAGCGGAGACGAAGCCAGGGGAGAGAGAGAGCACTCTTCTCTACCAAGATAAAAACACTTAGTCATGGAATTGATAGACATAACAAACCAACTACAGATTTAGTAATATTGAAAATGAACTGGCCAGTTTTCAACCACCACCAACACACTGATGCTTCGAAAACGTTAGCCCCTATCCTCAGCGTTGCAATTTATTTTATTAAGTTAGGTGCCCCGTCTGTTAACACGCTTGAATGATTGAAAAGCAGTTAGTTTGGAGATGGAACAATAAGGCATAAAGTGCATGGGTTTTCGTACATCGACATTCCAGGGCTGAAAAAA